TTTTGCCATATCGTCCAGGCCTACCCAAGCATTTACTTTATTCCAATAAAAACCACAGCCCATATTGTGAAAAGAAGCAGGTGACTGACTGAACTGTATGTGCCAGAAAATAGCGTGTAGCCTAATTTCCTTATAGCCGGTAACATTCAGAAAAACAAAAAAGAAAATTACACTGGCAACCGTCCATGTAAACAAATCTGCAGAAAACTGTGTCTGCTCTTTTGTTTGGTAAAAAGAAATAACATAAATATAAAAGAATAAACAGATGGAAAATAATCAATTTTGTATCAAGCATAATGATAGATTAGTCACTCTGCTGATGCAATTGTCATAATGATATGGCAATTCTCATCAAATTTGCCCTCAAGCATGTGATTCATGGCAGTATTGACAGTATTAATAAACACACTCATAGAATATTTATATAAAGAAGAAAAATGAGTCTAAATTGGTGACCAAGGCCTAGTTGAGCTATAGGTGGATATTAAGATCCTCAGAGATGCCGGGCAGCGTGATCTGGTCTGAAATACACATGGTTGTGTCCATGTGTCACTTTAACACATATCAGTCCAACAGCAAACCATAGTGGACTCCCATGGAGCACACTGTCCCCACACATTCGGCATGACAAACACTGCTGCTCAAGACGTCCTCTGATACAATAATTTCTCCCCTGTTCTTCTTCCAAGACCAAAAAGTTCCATATGCTCTCAGTGGGTGGCTCACAAACTACAATGACAGTGGGCGTCATGTTTGACAGCTCTCTTAAGTCACTAGAAAGAAAACCCATGAGGCAATTCTTAGTTTACTGTAGTGGGGTTCCACGCCCAATGAAGATTGTTGAGGGAAAACGGTTTCAGATTCATCTTGAACTACTTCACATTTAGCCACACTTAAGACACCGCTTCCTAGCTGCATACACCGTCAAAGTACTTGCTAACTGTATTTTGAAAAACGTGCATGGTTAGGACCAGAAGCAAATTCACATAAGAAACAAATGTCCTCTATTTCCACTGCGCCCAGCTTTCCACATAAAAAAGGTAAAAAAAAAATACAGAAGCATTTAACATACAAAAATTATATATATTTCCACTTAAATTGTATAGTTTGTCGATACGCTTAAGTTAATAGTAAAGCAAGTACAATGACGGCTGTACTAGCAGGAAACGACACATTTTATCGTAGGACCAGCGGTTACCTTCAGTTACACAGCTAATGGGTGCTAACAGCAAACGTAAGACAAAACCGGTGATTGTTTATGTTAATAACAACCATACGGTGTGACACATAGGGATTGTGGATCTGATATATATATTTTAAACTAAATAAAGTCAGCCTGGTGAGTGAGCCTTCAGGTAAAACGGCAGTGGAAGCACAACCTGCGACTAACGTGAGGGTGGTGCGTTAACATTCGGCTAAACTTCTGAACCGCGGATTTCCCCTTTCTTTCCCTTCTTTCTCTCTCCCTCTAACGTATTAAATCAAATAAGCATTACCTCGTCTCCCGACATTTTTGCCTGGATGCAGCGGACGTTTCTTGCGCGTTAACTTTCAGCCGCGTTGATGCCCCTCTTTCTTCGCTTGCCGTTCGAGTCTCTTGCATCAGCTACAAGGAAAGCCTGTATTGCGCAGGCGTGAGAGTGACTATTCCTGATGGTCTATGTAGTTTTTTGCGGTATTTATAGCACATGTACGAAATATTTCATACTAAATATTACTGCACTAAATACTGCAGTGGGTGGTATGTTTATAAACACAGCCATATCCCATCATAAACAGATCGCCATTAGACGCTCTAGTGATATGTCTAAATAAGGATGTGGCTAGATCCATTATCTGTTGGTTTGAACCAGCCACATAGGTGACATCAAACGATCGGAGTTATATTCTATCGCACTGAGAACAAGAGGCGTCTTTCAGCATGTTACAAGGTCGTTTAAATATATTATGTTAAGAAGTGAAATGAACAAAAATATTAAATGCTTTTTGTTCTTGAATACTTACGGCTTTCAGGTCCAAGACCACATAAAAGGGAAACTGCTACATTTTGTAATAAGATGTTTTACCATTTTTTTTATGGTTCCCATGGCATGGACCCATATGGTGTATAGAGGAGATATCAGGCTCCTCTGTCTGAACTCTAAGCATGTTCTGTCTGAACATTATTATCTCACCGTAAAATGCCTCCACCCTTCAACCCCTTTGACTGCCATTAATCTGCTGAAAATTGCAGCTAGATTCAAAATTCTGAGATGCACAGCCTCCATGAGATTCTTTCCAGTCCTTTATATTCAGCTGCTGTGGTCTGGTCACCTTTGCTGTCCTATAGGACTGTTTCTTAACCCTGGTTCTGTCTTCACAGCGATGTGTGAAGATTTTCCAAATAACCTACATTCCAACCAGTTTTCATGGACAAACTTGCTGGTGAACCTGGACTCTGTCCCAGGCAGCATAGAAGAACAGGCAGAAGTATGGCCTGCATGAGACGCCAGGGCAATGCAGGGTTCACACACGCACATGCACACACACACACACACACACACACACACGATGTAGGGTATACATATCCTTATGGGGGCCGCTCATTCATTTCAATGGGAAAAATGCTAACGCTAACTATGACAACCTTAACCCCTACCCAGCCCTAACCATAACCATAAGTAACCAAACAAAATACAAGAGTTTTTGCATTTTTAGTTTTTTCATAGCAGTCACCGATTTTTATAAAATAGAGTTAGGAAACCAGGAAACCGGTGCCCTTAAGGGGAAAAAAATAGATATTTATCACGTTATGGGGACATTATGTCCCCATAAGAATAGGTAAACCTGCTCACACACACACACACACACACACACTACTGGTAATTTAGAGGCACCAATTAGCCCAAATTATTGTATTTGGACACCATAGTGAGAACATTCAAACTCCAGACAAAGACAATGAAGGCAGCACTGAAATCTCCAGACATAAAAATGTGTGGCAACAGTCCTGCACATTCAAACACTGCACTAGGTTCACAGTTCAGTCATTTTGAATCATTATGATATATCCTGAGTGACAATGGTTCTAACTGTGTATCAGTGCCTGTGGTGAGTTTAGTGAGGAATATCTTCTGAAACCATAATTGTTTCCACCCAGACGCAAAGCGAGAATTTCTGCAGTATGTTAAATGATCCATGATTACCATCCCTGTGCCCTCCCCATAATATATGATCCATGATTACCATCCCTGTGCCCTCCCCATAATATATGACACAGAGCATAACATAGTCATGTCTGCGAAATTCTAAATTGTTAAAAAAGAAAAAAATGGCTAAAAATGTCAGTATTAATTTGTGTAAAAGGCATGTGTGGGGAAAAAAACTTTTACGTTGATAACTAATACAGTTTTATAAATTATTTATGACATACATGATGTTGGACAAAATTTGACTTTTTTCATTGTCGACTTTTCCAAAAATCCAAAATGCAGTGCGACTTTTATTATAATAATATAAACACAATTAAACGAAGGCAAAACATCCGTTTTCTATTAATTTTCTTTCATTCCTCAGCCCCACCCCACAACTGCATGCCTCTGCTGAGGAAACAATTTTCTAAGAAAATTGAGGTGACCATCCTTAGATTGTAATGGCTAACAGCTGCTAAGATGCTAAGTCTGCTCTCCTCAGAGGGTTGTAGTTTTTTTCTTTAACTGCCATCTTAATATGTAGTTTTCAAAGCCTCTTATATCATGCCTGAAAGAACATAATACTACTTCAAGTATGTTAGCAGAAAATTTTATGTGAGTGCAGGCATAAGACACTTTTGATTCTTGCTAATTATGGAAATATATACTGATTTAAAATCCACAATAACGGGTTTATGGATTTTATAACTGTTTTCAGAGATATATGAAATAATTAATTTGAGGAGGTTCATTTTATAAGCCCTTAACATGCCCTCATCTATTGATGTAATATGTTTTGACTTACATCATTAGTTACCTTTTATTATTGTAATATTAATAGGAATCAGGGATGATGGAGGGGCATGGATAGCCTGGAGGATTTAGGGGGCCCTCACTTTACTGGGGCATTGAAATCTACTGACATGAGTTAATTGTTTTGGGTAATTTCGAGACTTTTGCAGCTAAACCTTAGTGTTGGGCTATATGCATGAACTGATTTGAGAAACAAAAGCTCTTGAGAGAATCGTCAGAATGTTAAATATGTTTCATGAAATATGCCAAAGCAATAGAGAAGAACCGTAACTTATGTCTCAAAAGCAAATAATTCCACCATTGAATTAGTCAGTGCCACCAAAACAAAAAGAACAATCTGTATCATTTTAATGATGAGAGTCAAAATATTTATATTGTCAGTATGTCAGTGTTAGTCTGTTCCTGAGCTCCATAATGCTGAATGATAGTCAGATCCAACTTTCTCATTGTTGCTGATTGATCATTTTTCTTAAGCAAACTGATACTTATTCATGTCAAAGACACCAGTTTCAACACTGCAAGGCTCTACATTGCAGTATGTAAAGTTCACTGGCAAGAGAAACACTCGCATGTACATGTAACATCTTCAGATCTCAGGACACAGTAGAATAGCAAAAAAAATTCACACAGCACTTCAAAAAGACAACAAAATCATGTACTGCGGGAACCAAAAACACAACAACAGTGTCACTGCAATTTATGAAGTTTATTTTACAATCATTTTGAAAGTTTGATTAACTATATTGCATGTGGTGACTAACATAATGATCACAAACATATATAGTTTTATGTGTAAAATGATTATAATGGGAAACTACATAATCTATTTTGACCAACTGAAAGAAACTGAATATTGTGTAACAATTTTACAAAATAACAATTGTACAAAATCATTTGCATGTAGTAAAATATTTGGAAATTTGTGTGAAGCAATGAGAAATTATGTTCTGCTGTGCAGAAGTGACATTATGGTGTGGGGATTACACTTGTTGTTTTGCAAATGTTAATTGTGATCTGAGAAATGTACCAAAGCAATCGAGAAAAACTATAATTATTTTTGGTAAGTTGCAGGCTTTTGCAGCTAACTACAGTGTTGTGCTATATGCAGTGACTGTTTTTGCTCTTATAGTCTTGAGAATGTTAAGTATGTTTCGTGAAATGTGCCAAAGCAATTGAGACTGTTAAAGAAGAAACTGTAAAATACTAAACAAAACTGTCTAAACCATCTGAAAACTGCACATCACATCATCAAGTTGCAAAATGCATAATAAATATGTTTCACCAAAAGTATAAATTCACGGGAATGTGCTGAAGAGCTCAGCCTAAGAATGAAAACAATTTCACCAAGAAATGTAGAAAAAATACACAGGAGACCACACAATGTAAACATATCTTTATTTTAAAACATCTTTAAAAATTATTTAAAAATTACAGTTGATGAGTTTTACTTCCTCCTTTTTATTCTTTGCAACACATTTTTGGGATAATCTTTTAGAAAGATTTAGATGTATCCTGTGGTAATGGCATACACCTGGCTGCCAGGAAAAAATGTTTCTCCAGTATATACATTGCCTTGGAGGAAGGCAGCTAAATTCCTTTTTTTGCCTATGCTCACGTTGAGTGCCAAGGCCTGGAAGACGACCTTAATAAGAAAAAATCTAAAAATGTGCCCGTAAATGTCACTTGTATTCATCTCAGCTATTCACAGTGGGAGAGAGGTAAACAGACCTTTTGTCTCTGACAGTTTTACAAGGTAAGGCAGTCGTTACTTAAACTAGCAATTATTTTTCTCTTCTCTTTTTGTGGCTTTTCCTGTCATCGTTCAATGGCAAGTGTGCGAAAAAATCCTGAAATAAAAGAGTAATCTTTCGTCTGTGCTGATTTTTCCCCCCTTTTCTAATTGCAGATCTCATAGCAAATCTTTACCATATGTTAAAGAAAGGTTACTTTCAGTAAGGTGAAAGATGTTTAGTCTCTTTGCTCTTCTGTTCCTTTTAAGAAATCTTAAGTTGGCCAGTAGCAGAAAAGCAACTTTTTTATGTTACTTGAAACAGAAAATATCTGTTTACAGGATGCTCCACAAATTTCAGAACAATTTGTTTCGTTATGGAAACCAAGAAAAAAAAAATCCGAATCCTTTTTTCCTGGCAGAAACACTGATTTTGCAAATCGTGATTTCAATCGTTAAAATCCAAAAATGGAATGTAGAGATAAAATGCTTTAAATGTATAAATACACACATTTCAAAATATGATCCTTTTTGTTATTTTGGAATTTATACAATTTGTATGCCCAAAGAACTGTCAGTTTCTAATGATTACAAAATGGATAAATTTGATTTTCCATTAACCTTCTATTCCAGAATTGCTATAAGTAAAGTAGTTAGAAAGTTACTATCAAAGTAATTAAATGTTCTTTTGCCATGGTTTTAGCATGAATTTTCTAGTTACTGTCATTTTCACACTGTTTTTTTTTCCAAACCAAGCACAGCTGAACTAAGATAATTTGTCGCAATTTTGTTCATAACTCAGTTTTGATAAAATATTTTGAATACATATTTTTAATGTGAGTAAAACTCATTGGAAAAAGTAATGTACTTTGTGATATAGCTTTTCAGTCTCAATCAAATCTTAGGTTGTTTTTAAATGTATGGTATTTTTTTCGCCTATATGTTGAGGCAAAAAGTTGTTTTTTACCTACTGAAAGTGGTTGGGGCTTTACGTGTTTTTATCTTATTTTTTATTAACTGTTTAGTAGCATGCTTTTTAGACCTAAACATATGTAGCAATTTACAATAAAGATAATTTAAATATGTATTGCATACCCTTATTAAATGAGGCATAATTTCCTAATCTTGATATCAGCTATTCAAGTATATATTGATAACCATGCAGTAAATGCAGAGCATAATAAACTAGTTAAACTCTATAAAAAATTCTCAATATGTTTCTTAATATTTATAGGTCTTTTCTAACCCTGAATGTTGTCCCACATCTTAATATACGGACAAGCCTTTTGCTTGAATAGGCAATTTGGTAAATATACAAAGTACATACTTTGTGGAATTTTACAGTATCTTGTTTAATTTAAATTACCGTGTGAAGCCTCTAGCTTCAACTGACAATGCAATATGGATTCTCTGATAATATTTTGGGACATTAAAAGAAATATGTAATTAAGCATTTACATTTCTGTAATGTATGCATGAAATTGGAATGATAACAAAAATATATTTGTTTCAAATTTGTTTCCAAAACAACATACAGTTCAGTACCTGTTTATGTATCAAAGCTAATGTGCCTTACTACTGTGAGTATTATGGTTATTTGTGTCCTATGAAGACTTTATTATGTTATTATTTAGTGTTAATTTTTGGGAAAGGCATTACAGGCATGTTTGAATGTGTTTTCAGTGGCGCCCTCTAGGAAAAATATGCTAGCATTGTTCGTTAGCTAAATATCAGGTTCTTGTGGAATATTGCAGCGTCCTAAAATGCAAACATGATTTCCACTTGTAATGTGTTTTTATTGCTAACTGTCACATGCATAATTATTAGTATTTTAATAACATTAACATGAATTTAAAATCTGCACATCTAGGGGTGATATGAATTTTTATGATTTATAAATAAAGTTTGTATAGGATGATGGTGACTTTAATCATGTATAAGTCAGACTGAGGGCTACAGCAATTTTTCATGAAGTTTCACTTTCAGCTGCTATGTTTTTCTATCCCTGTTTCCTATTTCCCCTTTACCCTTTCAGTTTCGCATAAAACTGTTTCTGTTTCACTGACAGTGACCTTGGCACGTAAGGTGTAGCATGTCTGAGGTCTGAGGCATTGGTTCCCTTGGCATGATGCGCTTTCTTGCCTAAGCCTAAAATGTCTGCTTTGACGTTCGATGGCTTTTGATCACCACTAATGGTGCCTGTTTCCTGACCGGAAGGGCATTGCTGTTCGGTGTGCTTGACACCTCTCCATATAATCACTAGCAGCCCTGGTATTTCACACAACTATTAGTTGACATTTTCCCCCCAGATAAACAATACAGCAAAAAAAAAACCTCACCAATACTGGTAATTAACTGGCTATACGAGGGCTTGTCTTTCCGTACTAAGCAGTCCTTTAGAATGAAAACTAAACCCACTTCTTAATCAAATCAAACAGACAATTGCTTATCATTTGTTCATGGGCTTATGTGCGTGTTTAATCTAGCCCTCAAGACTAATTCGTTAATTATTATCCATGATAAATATCAAATTGAGGTTTTATTATTTTAAATGTATGTTAAATTATTGATAAAGAAAAATTACTGTCTCTTGGGATCAACAATATTTGATTTAGGCTGTTTGGTGATTCACTAAAAATGACGTAATATGTTTATTCCCTAGCATAAAGCACCCAAAAAAGGATACATACAAGGACTAAAGCAGGAGAAGAAAAACATGTTATTAGTTTTTCATTTGTAAACATCTGAGATAAAAATTAAGAACAAAAAATTCCAGCCATAAAATTGACAAATGAGCAAAAGTCAGAGATATCTGTGTTGAAAACGTGAAAATGGAAATGCTTAGGAGATGGGGGTTAAACTACAGGCATATCCTGCAGCTCAAATCCAATAAGCCAAACTTATTACAGAAAGGCAGGCAGACTGGCACTCATAGGCCAACTTATTCATAACATATTTCATGACTAATTGCTTGCCTGTTATCTTTTACCTGAGTATTCACTCTCATGGAAGGACTGTTATTCCACTGAAATTCGAGATTTGAATGGACATACAGCTGTCATCATTCAAATAATATATAATACATTTAATATTAAATAAAATATATTCCATATTCCTTTTGATTATTAATTTAAATTTAAAATGGGTCATTGTCTCATATGTAAGTATGCTACAAAGTAACATAATTCATTTGTATCACATAGTTACAGTACCTAAAACCCACCAAATAGTAAATCACTTATAGCCGTAACATAACAAGGATTCCTATCTTGCAGCCAAAAGACTAATTTAATTGCATCGCCAAAAATCAAATGAATGCTACCAACAACTAAAAAAATTGTATTAAATACGTAAAACATTCATTTTTGTGATGGAATTTTATTACAGTCGTAGTATAATACTAGCATGTGCCATAATGAGAAACAAATACATTTCTGACAGTTATTCCGGAACAGGCTTCAGGTGGTGCGGTCAGATGTTGGTCAAGCAGCCTTGACTGCTGTCCATTAAGCCCAAAAATGAGGACCTTATGCTGTGGTTCGGCGGCACTGGACGTGATTATGGAGAACATATATTTAAAAAAAAAAACCAGAGTGTTCAGTCTACGAACAGAGCCCCATTTTTTCCTTTCATTTCTTGCCTATGCACCGCATATCTGCATAAATAGCTGCATAAATCAATAATTTCAAAATATTAGTAAGCCTAAGTAAAAAAAAAATCATGGATTTAATACTAACCTTCAATAACATAAAAACACATCTTTAAAAAAAGGTTTGTGTTGCTGAATGGTGCAAAAAAATATATAAATGTTTTTCTGTTAATGAAAATCAGAAAAACAGAAAACTAAGTATAATAGTCTCAGCAAAATTTCTCGCAAAGTGTCTCAATGGACTTTATGTTCCAACACTTGTATTAATGTTTCTGATCTGCAGTTGTGTCAAAGCAGTAATATATGCCACATACATAATATCACACCCTAGGCTAGATTTCCAGAGGCAAAGGTCGGTACTTATTTTGGTATTCTGAGCAAGACGTACGATCGTCAAGCCAAAATGCAAAAGATGACTTGTAGAATCTTTTTAGATTATAAACATGAACCGCCTCACATACACTGAGCTAGCAGCACAGAAACCTGGTCACCCCTAAAGCACCAGTGCAATGCTGCCTGCTCAATAACGTGAAAGAGAGATCAGGAATGTGCTCTAAAATGTAGCCCAGTGGTAATGAAAACCATATCCCAAGAAGTGTGTGTGTGTGTATGTGTCTGCGTGCATGTATGACACAGAGAGAGAGAAAGACAGAGAGAGAGAGTGAGAGAGAGAGAGAAGACTTCACCGAAACAAAGGTGGTGCACTGCCTACTGTACACCTCCAGCGTTTGTGCAACAAGCCAAGGAAGCACAGATATGACAGTGCCAGTTAGCTGGAAGGTTAAATTATTTGGACTGGTAAAGACATGCAAGCATTAGAAAAGAGCAAGATCCCTGAGTCTCAGCTGTGGAATCGAGGAACAAGGTGCATTACAGGCTGGGCGATGTCAAGATGGGCCGACTCATTGGTGGAATCTGAGCCAGCATCTATTTTTTTTTGTGATGGAGGTAAAAATAATTCCCAATCTGATAATTCCCCCCCTCCTTTAAAAACTTTGACCTTCTGTACCATCTTGTATTTTTCCCTCCTTATTTTAAAAAACAAAAAGCGTGGATCCGCCCCTGTCTCAATATGCCATCGCTCTTTTTTCCTAGATTCCACCACTGCACGACTTTCATGATATTTCTCTTCATTAACGGATGTGAAAGGACAGACTCAAAACCAAAAGGGAAGAGAGGAGGAAGCTAGAGGGAAAGTACTTGCAGGTTTTTCCGAAGCAACGACCCGGAGAAGGCACTTTTGAAGGTATTAATGATTCCTGGCTAATTTTTTTGTGTCTGCTACCGAGCATAAATGCATGGAGAGATTTGTATTTTTCTGCAATTCCACATGGTGAGCTTGGCTTTTTCGAAAAGCCTCACAGTGCATGCATGCTTCTGTTGTAGCTTTCAGAAGAGATACACGAAGATAAAAATCAAAGCTGGGCTATCAGGCTCAGAATTAGTCTGAAAACTGACTGGAAATATTCAGTATAATTCACAACAGCACTTTGGAGCTCTGAACTAGGATGCTGGGGCCTATATTTACCATTAAGTGTGATAAATATTATGACATTTCCTGCTATTCTATATGGAGTGCTAATAGAGAGCATTCTAAAATGCTCATGTTTTGCCATGCTATATCATAAATTTCTTAAATTAAATATTTCATTATAAAGTAAATAAACACTTCTGGCAGACTGATATTGTGTTTTTGAGTAATTAAAATATTCTTATTAAATTTAAGATGATAGTAACATTCACTTATATATATTTTTGAATATATATGTAATAATTTGGCTTTCCTGCTTGTTTGAATATAATTTCATGTCAAACAATTAGAAAGACATCAAAATATTTTTTTTCTTTCTAAGAATTTCCTAAAATAAATCAGCCACAATATGTCTCATGTGATAAATAGTTGTTCTTCCACAGTTGATAATATGCATGTTTACTGTGCATGATTTATGTTGATAAATATATTGAATTGAAATTCAATTCAAGTTGCATTTCGAGAATATTTCAGGACTTTCTGTACCGTATTTTAATACATTACCATTGGTGATTTTACAAAGCCACTCAATACACAGCACTGGAAACTTGCAAAGCTTTGATCATAGAAAAACTATTCAAAACTATTATGAACTGATATAACATGCACACATAATGATGGTAACAACAGAGAGTATTTCTGAATTATTATGGCACAATGATTACTGCGACAAATATTCGTGTAGGCCTTGGCTTTCGAATGCCCCAGTAATTTGTCTGGATTTAATCTCCTTTTTGTTTTAAAATGAAAATTCAATCTACATAATTCCTAGCCTGTTCATTATTTATAGCATGTTACTTTGTATATTATATAAAACGTGTGTTGAAAGAAGCCTGTCTTATAAAATTTCAGTGTGTATGTTCTTATTCACAAATCTTTAGCTTCACGGATCCAGTGATCAAATTTTATAAGTCAGGCTTCTTTCTGTTGTGTAACTGTGTCTGCAGTATAAGTATTCCAGTCAAATCTCACTGTCCTCACTATACCCTGGCAGACAAATAATAATGTATCAAGAGCTGGTGTACACTGTCAGCATGTTAGTTTTAGATTGCGACAGCAAGTTGTTAGGGAGCAAACAGTGATGTTACATAGTAATCATAGCGACAAACAAACAGAGGCAGTTGCAAAAAACATTGCTTGAAAGAGTTAGCTACAAATGAAACTGGATGCATGTGTTATTGGTTTTTATAGATATATAGAAATAATAGCCTGAATCTGACCTTGTCTAATTAAAAACGTTTTGTATTTTTTCACCAACAAAAATGAGGCATGACAAACTTAAAAAATGCAAATGACCTTATTATGTTGTACTGGCTCAGACATAAAATATATATATATTCTGAATATCAAAGGCACAATTTTACTTTATTTTGATTCCCAAGACAAGAGATAATTGACTTTAATATAAATGGTCTTTTAGAAGGGGGGGGGGGCATCACTGCACTATGAGAACCGTAAAAAATCAGTTTGTCTCAGAGATTTGCCAAAGCCAACTCTCCCCCACTAGTAATTTTGAGAAATCATATTTTTCTAATGCAAAAGCTGGATTTTTATAGAGACTCTCATCTCAACATTGACTCTTTTTTGGGAAAAGAATTTGGGGAACATTAAACGAGATTCATGTCTCTAATGGTTCAAACAGTTTAGCCTGCATGATTAAAAACTTCCAATTCACAAAATTTCCATACAAGCATGCTTCTCAGGAGAGGTTTTTCATAACAAAATATTTAAATCTAATCTAGAAAGTGTGGGCACAAATATAAATACAAAAACTAATGTGCATGAAAAATTACATTATTCCCTTTAAAACTGGAGTGTCATGATATCAGGCTTTATTAAACATAACTCCAACATCTTTTTGATACTAGAAAAAAAATTACTAATCGAGAATTTTTCTGAAACAACCAGACCAATAATTCTCAGTAGCTTGTGTAATTATAATGACATTAAAGCTGTAATTGATTATTTTTACAATTGGCTCAGGTTGAATACATAAATTGGCCAACCAATATTGTTGCATTTTCCAGTGCTGGAATCAAAAGAGTGATTTAACCACAATCGAAATTGAAATGATTTAGTATGTCATTGTGCTTTCTGAACAGTTTAGTAGTTGACTTCATGTCATTTGTAAGATGTTCTTACAGCCTCTGGTTGGAACCAAAATAAAATCTGAATGTACATATAAACTGAATGTACATATAAGGGTTTACACTTAACCTTTTGCTTAGTAATACATGAACTTCAAATAGCAGAGAAGAAGCAACTTCAATGACTGCAATCTACCTGAGCTTCTGTAGACCCTTCCTACTTGGTATTTTAGGAACTCATATATTATGGTTCCAGTCAGACTTGGTCTTAAACATTAGGATTTCTGAAATCTCTGCGGGAGAAACAAAATTTCAAAGATTTCTGCTCCAAGTGACACTTGATATCACAAGACCTATATGCTAGTGCTCCTTTTTTTGAGATTAGTTCAAATTGTGTAATAGCTTGCTGTCATTTCTTCATTTATTTTCTTATAATGTTTATAATGTTTACATTAAAACATAATAATTTAAACACCATATCAATTCTGCTATTTACTCTGAATTTGATACTTTTCTTTAATAAGAAATAACTCATATTGTTAATATAATAATCGTCTGGATACAAAAGATTGAATTACCCAAAAAAGACCTTGACACAAGTGTACTGAACTGTCCTTGAAAATTAACTTATTAAAAATACAAAAAAATTTCAGCAGAGCTGAAGTGGGATTTTGCCAACTGGTGTTATTCATGTTTGCAGATTCCAGCGGCCTGAAGAGCGGACTCTGATATGAGTGCCAAGTGTTTGCTGTTGTCTCTGATTCTCGCCTCTGTCAGTTTCCTCATGCTCTATGCACACATGATCCTCGAAGAAAAGCCTGTTAGCAATGGTTCTTCCTCAGCCAGTCTACAAGAGCAAACGCATTCTGATCCTCCCCCCGTCCTAATCGTAGGTCAGTCTGACTTTTCAGGCATTTATGTCGCCTCCCTGTTTGCCTATCAGATTGCAAAATGCTCACAAAACATTCAGTTGCATGCTGCCCAAAATTGGGTGTCTCATTTCTCTGTTGTTCGGTGTAGCGTTTACACTGTAGACCATCACCACACCATGTTGCTTTCAAATGCTATATGCTTCACGCTTTCCATAACATGCAAGCAGATTGCAACTCTAGCCAAATTATTCACAGGGAACAAACGATAAAAGAAAACTTAATATATAATATTAAACATGATAAACAGCATTATTTATAAGTGATAATCTTTACTTGACAAGACTCAAAGATTATTGTTAACTGTTATACTTAAAGAGAGCAGCACTAGAACTTCATACTTCATAACATAACATTACATTACTTCATAAATGTAACTCTGGCACATATGAAAACAAAGGAAGAGATGGGTGGTTGGAAGGACTGGGGGACAATTCATTCACCAACAACTTGAAATTTCGGTAACGCTTTACATTCAGTGCACCTTCATAATGCATTCATAGAACATTCATAAGCAGCATGCAAGTACACCTTAACATCCTAACTTCCCATAACAGCTTTAATGATAATGAACACTTTATTAATCCCCGTGGGGAAATTGTTTTTACGCCTCCCTCAACTTGCTCTTTTTTTTTTTTTGTAGAGCAAGTTAATATACATTAATAACAAACATTACATGACTATACAATTATAATGTTTGTTATTATTATATAATGTTTGATATTAATGTATATTACACATGTGAAGGGATGTTAGGATGTTAAGGTATACATACATGATGTGTATGAATGTTTTATGAATACTCAATACATTATGAAGGTGCAGTTAATGTAAAGCGTTACTGAAATGTCTTACTTGATAATCTTATGGTGTAGTATCAGCACAACAACACAGCAGATGAGAATGACGCAACAGCATTCGCAAAACAAATATGCCAGCGTTTTTAAACCTGCTGATGAATTTTATCTGCAAGTTACTTTCTTAGAGACTCAAAATAAGAGGAAATGCCTTGGAAGAATTACACTTCAGTGTGCTGCACTTTAACATGTCTAGGTAAACATCTATAAATGTTAGTATAATGTAAATCTAGGTCACAAATGCATCAATGGTACTTACATATGTAAAATTGACAATCAATGATGCAAAATACAGTTTTATACATGTCTCTTTTGTCTTTACTTATCAACATTCTTTGTTTTCAGAATTACCAAAAACAGTAAACAAGAAGCCTGATAAGAAACAGAAAAAGGTACGATACTGAAACATTATTTTGAATAAATGTTTTAGAATTTAAATTCTAAAACCAGATACACAGTTGATAACAGAATGACACCTATGTATAGTCCAAACATTGCTAATCTACAGAAGTTTTAAAACTACAAGTACCATGTTTCATTACTTCTGAATTGTCATAGTTTCGATCCCATAGTTTCAACAATATTAAACCGTAATAATAACAACAACAATTATTGTTATATTACTGTTGCTTTTTATTTACTGTTTACACTCGATCTAATCGATCTGGTTAGAATACACTGAAACAAATTTAACAAATATAATTATTAACTTGTCTTCGTAAAGAAATGTATTAAGGAAAAACTATATTTTGAATTTAAAAACGTGCAAACTACGGAGCCCCCGAAGTCCCATAGAGTGATTTTTTTTCTCTTGTGCCCACAAGATAGTTACAGTCCGAATGAATGGTCGCGACAGAGGTGATGCGACATTAACAATACTTTTTTTTCAGTCGTTATCGGTAATCATAATAATAATACACTATGATAAACAGGTACAGTAAATACATCATTACTGACACCTGTTTATTGTATTTATTGAACCTGTTTATACCTATTTTACTATGATTACCGATAGTGAAAGAAAAAACTATTGTTCATAGCGCTTCACCTCATGGCGGCCATTCACGCGACCATTCACACGGACCGTGTAACTCACTCTTTAATGCCAAAGTAGTGCGCAGAAGCGTTGCATTTACTCCTTCGAGTAATATTAATTGCAAGGCTACTGTATCTTATTATATTGTACCCTGATGCCAGCAATGTTTTTTTTAGGAGAACGATTCGATTAAACAAGCTAGTAACATCAAACACACAGCAATTCGTCTATCTAATTATGTCAATAAAATCATTTTTGAGAAATCAGTAAACGCTTGAAAATTGCAAATGCAGCTTAACCTAGAACTCTAGCAAACGTAGTACGGCAGCTAACCTGTTCCTTACAAATATTGTAATTGTAAGGAATTACAATACGTAACTTGTGCGCACAAGTTACGTAACTTGCGCACAAGTTACGTATCTTGTGCGCACAAGATAAAAAAAAATCACTCTATGGGACTTCGGGGACTCCGTACAAAACGATATAAAAATACATTTTACGTTATTTAATAAAGCAATCTCGATGAAAATAAAATAACTATCAGCTTATTTACTTTGACCAATTCTTTTTGAAATTCGTTCAAAGTCGTTTTTTTATTTCAATCGACAATTATACATGATACAGATATTAAACGTCAGAGTATGTATTAAATATTTACACATACAGAATGAATTACTATACATACAGGAAAAGTTCCACTGCAGGTAAACCGCGAGAATTCTCCCCGTAATAATTTGCTTCGTGTAATGCTTATTTAATCAACTGGACTGCCTTCGAGAACTTATGGTTCAGTTTACGGGCTACGTGTAACTTAAGATGATGATGAATATTATTACTACAAAACAATTAAATTTCTAAAGTTTACCTTCCTTGCATCCTCTAAAGAACAAGTTCAGCACCAAAACCAAGCGACCGCCGCCTCCAGCCAACTGCGTCCCTTTGTGGGGAAGCTGCAAGACGCCCAACTCCATGTGCTGCGAGTACTGCGCCTTCTGCCAGTGCCGCCTCTTTAAGACCGTGTGTTACTGCCGTATTGGCAACCCGAGGTGCTGAGTACCTGCGCCCGGAGGGCATCCCTATCCGGAAAAAGGCCATTCTAATGGTATTATTTCTGGGGGAAAATGACGAGGACTCGGACGTAGATGTCACCGGCCGTTGTCTTGTAATAGCTATGTTATTTTTCTAAAAGTATAAGCACACTTAGGCATATTTAGTATGTTTTAAATTGCAGTTAAAATATTTAATGCAATTTATGAAAAAAACCGATACAGTACGGTAATGGACAACTATCTTATGAGACACAAGTATTTACCCTGATAGAAATGTTATTTATGTAGCCGCGACTACAAACGCAAGTACCGACACCCCTTCACATTCGCAAGGGTTAGGGGCGGAAGAATCCCGCGAATGTGAAAATTATAGCGAATAATACTTCGACCCATTATTAAATATGCAAAATGAACAGCACTGAAAAGTTTAAAGGTTACTGTGAGAAACACTGATATTCCATGGTCACAGAGACAGCTAAGTCAGGGGGGCTGGTGGCTGAAACTGAGATGCCCGACGTTCCCAGGCAAAGATCCGTAGCTCCCACAGCCTCTTTCTTTTAATATTTTTTTTTTATATAAAAATAACTTAAAATTAAAGATATAGTACCACTTGCACCAGTAAATATAAAATGCTACTAATTTTCGTAGGCTAGGCCTATATTGTATTGTCTATATGTGATAAACTTTTTAGTATTGTTTAGGCCTGTATATCTTTGGCTTAAACGTTGTCTGCGAGTTTCTCCAGAAATATTCCGGTTAAGTTGTTCACGGCCAACTTGCGAATAACCGAAACCGCAACTGTCTGCAGTGAAGTAGCCTAAATGGGGAGAGGATTCAAAATGGAAAAGCTGAACCCGGCATTCTGCGCTAATTTATTTACTCTGAACTTAAGTTGTGGAATATTGATATCTTTTGCCTGTGATTATAAGATAAAAACTACATAATTACGTATCTTTAATACAATTTTCTCCTTATTAATTAGGCCTAGTCTTTTTTCCAAGCCGGATTCCTAAAACCATTCCTGATGATTTGTTTACTTGTGTGTTTTCCTCAGTCACGTTTTCCAAAAACGTTTACAAATTAGATTTAATTAAAAGTATATTTTAATGGGCCCGTGAGTTAGACAGTTTAAATAGTATTACAGCATTACAAGGGAATAACTTTATGGCTGAAAGATGAAGTGCATAGTAGTGTTTTTGCAGGAGGGGGATGACTGTTTTTAACTGTTTTGTACTTTGTGTTTGGATCGTTATATTTGACCAGGCTGACAAATACAGGGAGTCGGGCCGCAAGCAGGGTTGCAGGAAAGCCGTGCGTAAACACGCGGTACTTTAACTAATGGACTGCTATCACATTGCCGTTTGCATTTGGCTTATTGAGTTTGGTTACCTTTCCTGAAATGGAATATTTTGCACATTTAAAGTTGCGTTTTGCTATAAATGTATGTTTTTATTGCATAGCAGGGGCAACACTTGTATAAATGTGTTTAGATGCTGACAATGCTACATAAAAGCGACTATTTTAATATAATGTGTAATTACACAACAGTTAGTTATATTGTTAGCATAAAACACGTTTGGCTAATCACTTTTTTCTAATTTTTACCATATGCTTAATGAAGAGGGACTGCTAATAATCAAATTTTGCACTAATTCAAATAAATCAGCTAATATATTTGCAGCTTATTTTAAATAGAAAATATAGGTCAGCAGTTTGTATTTTGATATAACACTTAATAGGTTTATAAAGATGTTTGCCATGTGTGTGCCTGTGTAAATGTGTGTGAAATAAATGTTTTAAGACTGGTTTACTGTCCATGTGCAGTGCAGTCCAGATACACAGGTTTACAATTTGGTATTTAAAAAATAAAACCAACAATCCAGGCATCAAAAAATCAGTGACAATAATAATAATCGTTATTTATATGGCACTTTTCATATATGGAATGCAGTTCAAAGTACATCACATATGAGATTAAAATAAAACCAAAGACAGAAGCAAGAAAGCACAGCTGCATTTTGACAGACAGATCATTGGAAAATACTACTACTCACAGCAGGTCCTATCCACAAGCACAGCATGTTCCTGCTGTTTGACTGATTGAAGAAGCAGTCACTGTAGCCAACTGCTTTACTTCCCATCTTTCACTGGCCATCGTGCGCGTTTACATGTGTGTGCCGCAGTACCTAACCCAAACCACATCCTGTCAAGCCACATAACTATTCAACAGTAAAACTGTATTCAATTATCAAGTGCTAATTCATTTGGTAAGTAGCTAGTTAACCATAATAATTTTATTTTTAGGGTCCTGGATAATTCCAGCCTCCATTGCTTTTACAACAGAGTTCATTTGTTGCTAAAAATAAACAACTTTGTTGAGTTCCAAAAACTAGGTAAATGTATGTAAGTACATGTATAAAAATATATATATATAGCTGTAATCAGTAATGGTTTTTTTATCAGACAGAAACACATAAAGAATTTCATGTCTGTGTCCTCAAGATGGTGATATATAATTCTGTTACTTGGCTGATGATCCAAAGCAGCATTTACTATAGAGCTAGATGTTTACAAGAACCTAAGATCTTAACGCCTGTATCCAAGTGTACAACAGACTTAACATAAACAGGTTAGAATAAAAGTATTTATTAAGAACATAAGAAATTTACAAACGAGAGGAGGCCATTCGGCCCATCAAGCTCGTTTGGGGAGAACTTAACTAATAGCTCAGAGTTGTTAAAATCTTATCTAGCTCTGATTTAAAGGAACCCAGGGTTTTAGCTTCCACTACACTAGCAGGAAGACTATTCCATACTCTGACTACACGCTGTGTAAAGAAGTGCTTCCTCAAATTTGTTTTAAAATGTTCTCCCGCTAATTTCCACTTATGGCCACGAGTTCTAGTATTTAGACTAATATTGAAATAGTCATTTGGCTGAACAGCATCCAGACCCGTTAGAATCTTATAGACCTGAATCATATCCCCCCTTAGTCTCCTTTGCTCAAGGCTAAACATTTTATACAAAGAGTCAGATGATATACGTGCAAGATCATTTTAACAGAATTTATACATTTATTACATAGATTGGATAATGCATTGTAACGTCACTAAAGCTGTTTCTTACCTCTGGCCTCCTCTAATAGTACAATTCACCTTAACTGTATAGCGCCTTTCAAGTACACACTGCCATGGTGATTTATTCATTATACTAGGGTCTTTCCTTAGTTTATATTGGCAGTATAGATTCACAATGATATTCAAATTTATCCAGCTACATCCTGCTTCCAGCTCATTATTTCTCAGAGCCATGTTACACAGCATGCTGACATTGCATAATAATAATAATAATACATTTTATTTATATAGCACTTTTACAAGAACTCAAAGACGCCTTACAGAGAAAGTACACAGAAAACAGATTACACATTATGCATATGGAAGGTTAAATGCCTTAGCAAAAAGAGAGGTTTTTAGCTTGGTTTTAAAATCTAAAACAGAGGTCGACAAACGGATGGCAGTAGGTAGTGAGTTCCAAAGGCGGGGAGCGAAACGGGAGAATGCACGGTCACCATAGCTATGTAATTTGGAAGGGGGGATGAGGAGAGAGCCAGTAGAGGAAGATCTAAGACTGCGGGGAGGCTGGTAGGGTAGAAGCAAATCAGTAAGATATGGGGGACCTTGATTATTAAGAGCTTTAAATGTCAGAAGCAGCATTTTGAAATGAATGCGCTCTTTTATGGGGAGCCAGTGCAGGCTCTGCAGAACGGGTGTGATGTGCTGATGGGAACGAGTGTGAGTAAGGAGGCGGGCAGCAGAGTTCTGAACTATCTGAAGTTTATGGAGAGATTTAGCAGAGATCCCAGCGAGTAGTGAGTTGCAGTAGTCAAGACGGCTAGAGATTAAAGGCATGAATGAGGAACTCGGCAGCAGAGTTTGAAAGGTATGGCCTGATATGGGTGATGTTACGCAGGTGAAAGAAAGCTGTTTTTACTATGGCACGTAGGTGTGCGTCAAATGAGAGGGTTGGATCAAAGGTGACACCAAGATTTCAGACCAGAGGAGATGGAGAGATGGTAGTGTGGTCCAATTTGAGGGTTATTGGGCTGATTTTGTCAAGTGTGGATTTTGTCCCAAAGACAATTAGTTCAGTCTTATCGCTATTAAGTTTTTAAAAAAATTATGCCTCATCTATGATCTGATTTCAGAGAGGCAGGTTTCTATATATGCAAGTGGAAGGGTGTTTATGGAGCTGGAGCTAACATAGATCTGGGTGTCGTCGACGTAAAGATGAAAATTTAGATTAAAGCGGCGAATGATCTGGCCTAGAGGGTGAATGTAAATGATGAAGAGCAGTGGCCCCAGGACAGAGCCCTGGGGAACGCCACGTGTGACAGCTGATATGTCTGATGTCTGACCGGATAGGGTAATAAAATGTTTTCTGTGAGATAGGAAATTAACCAGTTAAGCGCTGCCCCACAGATTGCCCCCTAGATTGTGGAGTCTCTGGATAAGAATGGCGTGTGAAACTGTATCAAAGGCTGCGCTTAAATCGAGCAAAAGAAGGAGGCTTATGGCACCAGTATCAGTTGCAACTAGTAGATCATTTAAAACTTTAACTAAAGCGGTTTCTGTGCTGTGGAATTGGCAAAAACCAGACTGAAGTGGTTCAAGGAAACTATTGTTTTGCAAGAAGGAAAGGAGCTGAGAGTAAACTAAACGTTCTACTGTTTTAGAAAAGAAAGGAAGAGTAGAGATCGGGCGATACAGTAGTTAGCAAGGTTAGATGGGTCAAGGCCGGGCTTTTTAAGGTGACGGCTGCTACTTACAGAGATGATGTAATGAACCTCAGACACACTGACAGATGAAAAGTTAGTCAGAGAACTAGTTAGAGCTGGGACACTAGGAGGAGAAAAGAAGACTGGATTAGCATCTGAGTGGTTTCTGTCCAGAGAAGCATAAATATCAGAAATTTTGGTATCAAAAAATTGAAGGAAGGCATTGCAGCTTTCCGTAGTGGGTTTAAATGTTATGGCCAGGGGGCTTGAATAATCTTCTGACAGTAGAGAACAGGATGTGAGAGTTCTTATTATTGTTTATGACACTAGAATAGTAAACAGATTTAGCATTTTGTAAGGCATCCTTGTAACAGGCCATATGTTCTTTGTATGCTTCAGCATGGACAGAAAGGTCAGTTTTCTTGAGTAGTTGCTCAAGTCGCCAGCCTTTCTGTTTCATACAACGAAGCTCAGGGGTATACCATGGAGCAGGGTTAGTAAAGGAGACCAGTTTGGTTTTCAAGGGGGCAACAAGATCTAATGAGTCAGATAGGATTGTGTTTAAAGTGGAGACAATATCATCAGGGGAGGAAGGGATACATTTCGTTGATAGTCAACATTGTTTTCTATTATCAGTTCATGGAGTAGAGATGACTTAGTGGAAACAGAGGGAACATTCAAAAGTGCACAGTTTACAAGTTGTGGTTTGAATGAAGTCTGGGGTAGAGTACGGAGATAGTTAAAATTAACAGCACGCTGGGTACAGGTAGTTGGTCGACGCCGAGTTGTCCAGAACGTACAGATGTTGGTATTGTCATAGTGGAGAAAAGTTCTATAGCGCCTCAAGCCACAATGAATATAACGACACCGGCGTGAAATGCCTGCTCGGCAAGCAGCGGAGGCAGCTTCTCTAGGGAGTCAGTGGTCATTATTAAGACGTTTGAAGTCTGCGGCGGAGTACTTGTAAAATCGTGGAGCAACTCGGAGAAGTGCAGTTGGTAGGGGGATTAAGGGAGATTAAGTAATGGCAGGTCTTGTGGGGTGTTCCCCTTAAGCAGTGGTCATTACTTACTAAAGAGGGTCCAAGGAAGGCAAACCGGTGAACCAGCAATGGGGACATGGGCACTCAAGGTTCAGTGATGCGCATGGGGAGTGAAAGCACAAATTACTGAAACAGTTCATGCTGGCTATGATAGAAAGGCGTCAGAACACAGTGCACCACATCTGCATAGCCAAGCCCAAGCTGACCCGTATCTACCAATGAAATCACCTACAATGGGCACATGAGCATCAGAACTGGACCATAGAGTAATAGAGGAAAGTGCTCTGGTCTGATGATTCACATTTTCTGTTACATCATGTGGACGGCAGAGTGCGTCTGTGTCATTTACCTGGGGATGAGGTGGCACCAGGATGCACTGTGGGAAGAAGGCAAACCAGCAGAGGCAGTGTGATGCCCTGGGCAATGTTCTACTGGGAAACCTTGGGTCCAAGCATTCATGTGGATGTTGCTCTGACATGTAGCACCTTCCTAAACATTGCTACAGACCAAGCCCATCCCGTCACAGCAACAGTATTCCCCGACGGCATTGGCTTCTTTTAGCCAGATGTGCCCTGCCACACTGCAAAAAATGTTCAGAAATGGTTTGAGGAACATGAAAAAGAGTTCAAGGCATTGACTAAACCTCCAAATTCCCCAGATCTCAATCCTATCCAGCATCTGTGGGATGTGCTGAACAAACAAGTCTGAGCCCCCACCTTGCAACTTGCAGGACTTAAAGGATCTGCTGCTAATGTCTAGGTGTCAGATACCACAGGACACCTTCAGAGGTCTTGTGGAGTCCATGCCTTGATGTGTCAGAGGTAGCAACACAAGGTGGTTTTAATTTAATGATTGATTGGTGTATGTGAAAAACATAATAGTTCTTTGTTTGTTCCTAGCGCTCAGTTTAACAAAGGCATTACTTTTCTAAGAAATATAATAAACGACATGCATGGCAACAACCTCTATATTCACTCAAGATAAATTTA